GCTTCCCAATCCCACCCTCCCCGCCTCTCAACATCTCAGCCTACACACACGCATGCACGCACGCACACACACACGCACGCGCTCAAACACATGCACGCACACACGCACGCACGCAAACATGCGCGTGCGCACACACATGCACGCACACACGCACGCACACACACACACACGTCCAAAGCTCTCTGTGTGGGAGGCAGTGCCATCCCAGTTGAGAATAACTTCTAAATCTTTAACATTCATTTCCAGGCTTTGTGGCCTTCCTCTTAGGGAGTAGGTGGCTTCCGGGGATGTGATCAGGTCTGTGACCCATCCATGATCACAAGGAAAGGATCTGGATAAAGAGGTCCTTCCCTTATTTGTTCTTTTTCTGCTCATGGGAATTTTCTCTTAAGAAATTCACCTGAAACTCCAGATCCCTTCTTTCCTGGGACATACACGGAAATACTATGTCTAAATTACCCCAACCCCCATCTCTACTTCCTGGGAAAGAGGACTTGTGGTGGGGACAATATCAACAGGAAAGGATGAGCTTCACAAGAGCCCCTGTCCGGCCAGGAGAGTGATGGGCTCCCCTCCTCACGTGGCCCCTGGAGCCAAGGGGCCACAGACAGTGCCCAGCCTTTCTCCCTTTGCAAATGCCAGTAGAGACACAGGAAAACAGGAAACGGGGCCAGCTGACGTCCACGCAAATATGAGCAAGGAAGGCGCAACCAGGGGCAGTGGACGCATCGTGGGTGTAAGTTCTTCTAGGCTCCTCCCCCAGGGCCCTGACCTCTCCTGCCCTCTTCAGCCTGGGCTCTGGAGGAAAGACACCTGTCAGCACTGAGCTGATGGAGAAGGGAAGGTTTTGTTGTTGAGTCGCCCAGTTGGAAGAACGCACAAGGGGCCGACTTGAGAATGAAATGGCAGCCACCAACTTTATTGTGGGGAGTGCACTTCTGTTGCGGGGAGTATAGTTCTATTGTGGGGAGTGTGCTTCTACTCCTGCTCTTCTTCTTGTGCTCCCCATGTGTTCCCCAGGGGACCACATGGGCTCCACATATATCAGAGGACAACAGTAGCATTCAGCCATACATGTGTGATACCATAAGCTGAATTATGTTTATGTATTTTAGATGCAGGCACCCCACTATGCTAACATAACATTCTAAATCCAGGGTCCTATTCCTAGCCGTGAGCCTGATCACAACCAGACCTAGGACCAGCCAGATCGAGGACCCACAACACCCATAAAACACATCAGCTCCTCAGAAAAGCTGCCATCTGTATCTTCTCACCTTCGCCCACGACCTGCCTCTCACCGCTCCTTGCCATCTCAAGTCCACATCTACTGCCCCTCATAACTCTTGGTCCATCGAGACTTGCTCTTGCCTCCCTGTATGTGCCCTTATGGTCCCCACCTGCGATGCCCTCCCCCACTTTCTCCATGAACCTGCTTCTCCTCCATCTTTACAGCCAGCCTTCCTGGGGATCTTGCCACAAAGTCATCCCAACTTCTCCAGGTGGACACAATGGACTCCCTCAAACTCCCACCGCTGGCTCTCCTCCTTTGTGCTGTGACATGTCTGGGAGCAGTTACCTGTGGATCCCTCGGTTTCCGAGAGACAGGCAGGACGAGACCAGGTGTGCTTTCCTATGGCCCCTGTCACTCCTACGCAAGGGTCTGGCACAGGAAAATGGTTGTAAGTGTTCAGAGAATGAATAAAGAAAGGAAAGATGGATAAATGGGTGGACGCTGCTTCGGCTGCCATGTAATTACTGCGCTGAGTGCATGAAGAAATGAACTTTCATATATACTCCCAGGGATGTATTGGTGCAAGTTTTATACAGTAATGTGTAGGTTTCTCGCCCAAGTTTTTTGTTTTACGATAAAATTCGATAACCCAAAATTCATCATTTTAACCATTTTAATGTGTGGAGCCAAAGGATTGTGGCCCATCTAGTCCTCAGAGTTCTGCTGTGCTGAGGTATAGACAGGATGTCAGGAGTCCTCTAAGGACTATCACTGCAGGTAAAAGGTCAGAGTCTATCTCTGCCCAGGAATCAGTGTCTGCAGCACTATTATGAACCCTGGTCAGATGCTTGGTCCCCAGACTGACAGAGGGTACAAGGTCCTTATGTCCACCAGAGGTCAACATTGGGTCACACAGTGCTATCTGTCTCACACACCTACACCCACACCCACACCCACACCCACAGAGGAGGAATCAGCCAACTCCTGGGTCAAATCTGCCTGTGGCTTGTTTTTCTAAGCATAGTGTGACCAGGGCACAGCCACACCATCTGTGTGGGCTCCTGCCCTGGCTGCATTCACATTACAACAGCAGAGGTGAGTAATGGCGACAGACCCTATGGCCACAATATTTCTTATGGAATGTTCCCTTCCTGGTCCTTTAGAGAAAAAATTTGCCAACCCTGCTGTGGAGAACAGGCCGGAAAGGCTTCCTCTGAGACACAGAGAAGACCAGGAAGGTTAGCACTCCATAGGCCCTTCCAAAGAAGGGTCTGGTCTGTTTGTCTAGACCCAGAAAATTCCTCCTCTCCCTCATTGACCCTTCCGTGGCCATTCTGGATGCCTGGGGTACAACAGGGCCCTCCTTTCTTCTAGACTCCAGCTCAAGAGTCTCTTCCTCACCAAGGTTTTCTGAGCACAACCTCAAATCACACAGCCTTATATCCACCCCACTCCTCAAATACTCTAGGCACTGCCCTGCATTCTTTTTTGATACACCCAGTGTCTTACAGACACCCACAAGCCCGAAGGAGCAGAAAAGACTCCCCTCTGGTGAGCAGCCCTGGTAAACTCGTGCACACCTGTACAGACCTGCAGGCCGAGGAGGTGTGAGGACCTCACCAAGCAGGACACGGAAGTGCTACTGGCTGTCCAAGCCTAGCATTTCTGGCAAAGAAGAGACAAGAGAAAAAGGAGGTGAGCAAAGAGAAGCCTGGAGCAATGACCGAGGCATGTCAGAGAGAGTGTGGTGCCTGGTAGATGTGGCCGAGAAGACTGGAAGCAACGAGAACAGAAGGGGTGGCAGAGAGCAGGATGCTAACAGTGCTGAGAAGGACCAGCGTGGAGGGACACCGGTGCAGGGAAATGAAGCCAGGCCAGCGGGGAAGGGGGCTGCTCGGTGCCAGGCAAATGGCCCGCCTGGAAGGATTCAGAGGGGATATGGCCGCACCGTGGTAAAGTGGCCTTTTTTAACTCTATTGAATAACTCAAAGGCTTTGATAAAAATGTTTAATACCATTTAAAGTGGATTAAGAACATGCATTTCCTCTCATGAGAACACTCTTTTTCCTTCTGGGGTCTGCCTGGTGACACTGGCTTAAGATTCCTCTGGAAGCCTCCCTGAGACTCCTCCCCAGTGGAGCCTCCCAGCACTGACAGGCTTGATGCAATGACTGGCTTTTGTGTTTTCCACCCCCAGATGACTTGTGGTTGCCTCACTAGGCTCCCTGTGGCTGTGTCCCAGATCCTTCTTCTCATGGCCTCACCAGGTCAGACTGTGACAGGCGCCTGCCCAGTGAAGAAGCTGAGGCACAGAGAGGGTGATTTGTGTACCCACGGCCATCCAGCCAGGAACTAACTAATGGGGCCTGGATTAGAGTCCAGGTCTGCTGAATTCCACACCTTCAGTTCGTTCCATTAATTTGTGCTGCTACCAAAAATATAGTCTTAGAAAGTGCTTAGTAAAAGCTGGTGAATAAATGACTGAATGGATGGGTGGGTGAGTGGATGAAGCATATATCATTGTAAAGCTTTTCTTTGCTCTCTATCAGGAGGCCATGTGGCTAGTGGAAGAGACCCAGCCATCTTATCACTTAGTATCTAACTAAACTTACTGTGGCTTCTAAGACACTTTCTTCATTAGTCTGCTTTGAAGGCCAGGTGTGATCATTGAAGCAAAAGTGTTATATAACCTAATAAAGTGCAAGACAAATGCATGATTATATTAAGGCTAACTGTGATTGAACTAGGGATGTTATAGGGATGTGAGGGAGATTCACCGAGTTTTGGGGGTGACTCTTAGATATACAGATTTGAGAGAGAGACTCAGAGATACAGAGACTAGGGTGGTAGACTCAGAGATATAGAGACCTGGGGGTAGAGACTCAGAGATATAGACACTCAGTAAACAGTGACTCAGAATTATAGAGACTCAGGGGTAGAGACTCAGATAGAAAGTCAGAGGGAAGACTCAGAGATATAGAGAACTGGTGGAAAGACTCAGAGACTTTGAGACTTAGGGAGGAGATTCATAGATATAGATATTAAAGGGGTGCTTCAGAGGCACAGAGTCTTGCGGGTATACTGAGAGTCAGTGGGAGAGACAGAGACTAGGAAGATAGACTAAGAAATATAGATCCTTGGGTGGGGAGAGTCTCAGAGGTAAAGAGACATCAAGGGGGAGATTCAGATATAGAGGGTCGGGAGTGGGTGTGGAGAATCAGAAATATAGAGACCTGGGGGAGAACTGGAGATTAGTGCTCGTGGGAAGAGACACAGAATTATAGAAACTTGGGGGAGACTCAGAGAGAGACTTGGATTGAATACTCAGAGTTATAGTGACTCAGTGGATAGACTCAGATTTAGAGTATCAGGTCAGGGGAGATTCATACAGAGTTGGAGATACTCATATAAGAGACTGGAAAATAGACTCAGGAGGAAAAGACTGAGAAATATAAGACTAAGGAGGAAGAGACTCAGAGATGTTGAGTCTCAGGAGATAGACTCAGAGATAAAGAGACTTGGGGGAGACTCACAGGTATAGATACTCAGTGGGCTGAAACTCAAGGGTAGAGACTCAGAGATACAGAAATTCGATGGGCAAAGTCAGATATAGAGAGTTCCTGGAAAGACTCAGAGATATAGAGACTTGGGGTGTAGACTCAGAGTTATAGAGACTCGGTGGGTAGACTCAGGTTCTGAGAGTGGGTCAGGGGAGACTAAGAAAGATGTGTACAGAGATACAGAGACTTCATGGGGAGAATCAGCGATACAGAGATTTTGGGGAGAGACTCAAGACACAGAGAATTGGGAGATAGACTCAAAATATAGAAATTGAGGTGGGAGAAATCCAGAGTTTGGGCAGGATGACTTAGAGATATACAGACTTGGGGGAGAGACTGAGAGATAATGAGACTGAAGGGGAGACTTAGAGATATAGAGACTTCATAGTGGAAATTCAGTTATAGAGACTCAGGCTGGGGCAGACTCAGACATAGAGACTTGGGGGATAGGCTCAGAGATATAGAGACTTGGCAGACTCAAAGTTATAAAGACTTGGTGGGGACACAGAGATACAGAGACTTGAGGGAGAGGCTAGAGATATAGGTACCGAGGCGATATACTCAGAAATTTATTGACTCAGGTACGGGATAGACTCAGAGATAGAGACTTGCGGGATGGCTCAGAGATATAGAGACTTGGGGATGAGATACTCCTGGATAGGGAGACTCTGATACAAAGAGACTAAGATGATGGGAGATAGATATACTCAGGGAGAGGAGACTCGGATCTAGAGACTCAAAGAGGGAGACTCAGAGATATAGAGAGCCTCAGGAGAGAAAGAGACAGAAATAGACTCATGGGGGAGATCAGACATAGCGACTTGGAGGGACAGACTCATATAAAAACTTGTGGGGTTAAAGAGTCAGATATAGAGACTCGGGGGATAGACTCAGTGATACAGAGACTTGGGAGGTGACTCAGAGACAGAGGATCAGGAGCGAAGACACAGAAATATAGATTCAGGGGACGGACACACATTTAGAGACTCGGGTGGGGAGAGACTCAGTCATAGACACTTGGGGGACAGACTGAGAGATAGAGAGATTTGAGGAGACTCAGAGATATAGACTCAAGGGGAGCCTCAGATGTACAGAGTCTTGGGGGGTATACTCAGATATAAAAAGTCAAGTGAGAGACTCATAAATATAGACCAGAGAGATAGACTCAGAGATACAGAGACTCGGGTAGGGAGAGGCTCGGAGGTAAAGAGACACTGAGGGGAAGATTCCGATGTATAGATTTGGGAGAGAGTGTGGAGAATCAGAAATATGGAGCCTTGTGGGAGACTTGGAGATATAGTGCTCATGGGAAGACACTCAGATATATAGAAACTTAGAGGAGACTCAGATACAGAGACTTGGAGTGAAGACTCAGTTATAGAGACTTGGTGGAAAAACTCAGATTTAGAGAGTGAGGTCAGGGGAGACACATACAGAGTTGGAGATGGATACTCAGATAAAGAGACTGAAAAAAGACTCGGGAGCAAAAGACTAAGAAATAGGAGACTCGAGAGGAAGAGACTCAGACATGTAGAGATTCAGGGGATAGACTACAAGATACAGATACTTTGGGGAAGACTCAGAGATATAGAAACTCAGAGGGCAGAGATTGAGAAAAATAGAGACTGAGGGGTAGAGACTCAGAGATATAATGACTCGGGTAGGATGTGACTCGGATATAGACATAAGGGTGGAGACTCAGAAACAGAGACTCGGAAGAAGAGACTCAGAGATACAGAGAATCAGAGAGCAAGTTCCAGAGATAGAGGGACTTAGGGGGGAGACTCAGAGATAAAGAAAATGGGAGGTGCAGACTCAGAGCTTTAGGGCCTCAGCGGGGAGACTCATTGGTACAGTTAGGGGGAGGCCCAGAGATATAGAGATTTGGGAGAGGGACTCAAGTTATGGAGACTTGGGAGATAGACTCAAATGTATAGAAACTTGGGAAGGAGACTAAAGATACAGAGACTTGCGGGGGAGACTCAAAGACAGATATTCTGGGATGGAGACACAGATTTGAAGGGGGAGTGTCAGGGCTATAGGGACTTGGAGAGAGACTCAGAGATACAGAGTTTTGGGGGCAACTTATAGATATAGAGCCTTGGAGGAGAGACTCTGAGATATAGAAACTCAGAGGACTGAGACTCAGAGATATAGAGACTCAGGGGTAGAGACTCAGAGATAGAAATTCAGAGGGCAGATTCAGAGATATAGAGAATTTGTGGAAAGACTCAGAGACACAGAGACTGGAAGGAGACTCAGAGATATAAAGACTCTAGGGGCAAGAGACTCGGAGATATAGTGATTCAGGGAGAATGTGACTCAGATACAGACAAAGGGGTGGACACTCAGGAGCATAGAGACTCAGAGTGGGAGACTCAGAGTTATAGACAATGAGAAGGGGAGGTTCAAAGATATAGAGATTTTGGGGAGAGACTCAAGATATGGAGATGTGGGAGACAGACTTAAATGTATAGAAACCTGAGAGGGAAACTAAGAGACTTGGGGATGAGAAACACACTTACTCTGGGGTGAAGACACAGAGATTTGGAGAGGAGACTTGGCACTATAGGGACTTGCTGGTAGGCTCAAAGGCACAGAATTTAGGGGGTGACTCAGAGAAATATCGACTTAGGAGAGAGACTCCGAGATATAGAGACTGAAGGAGGGCAACTCAGAGATAGAGAGACTTGGGAGATAGACTCAGAGATACAAAGTCTTGGGGTGATATTCAGAGATATAGAGACTTGAGGGGGGAGACGCAGAGATATAGAGACTCGAATAGACCAGAGACTCTGAGTTAAAAAAGACTTAGCAGGGGAGTGATTCTGATATATAAAAACTAGGGGTGGGAGAGACTTAAGGATATAGAGATTCCATAATGGAGAACCAGTATAGAGATTTTGGGTAGGGGGGAGACAAATAGACTCAGGAGATAGGCTCAGAGCTATAGAGACATGGGAGATAGACTCAGATATATAGAGACTTGGCGGGGATATAGAAAACTGAGGGGGAGACTAGAGATACAGGTCCCTGGTGGATAGACTTAGAGATTTAGTGACTCAGATGCAGGATAGACTCACAGATACAGAGAGTTGGTGGAAGGCTCAGAGATAGAGATTCTCAGGGGATAGACTGAAAGATACAGTGGCTAGGGGGATATACTCAGGGACTTGGCAACTCCAGTAGGGGAGTCTCAGACATAGAGGCTTGGAGGAAAGACTCAGAGATAAAGACTTGGGAAGGAGACTCAGAAATAGAGACTTAGGGCAGGGAGACTCAGAGATATAGGGAACTGGCGGGGGTGAGTCACTCACAGAGACTCAGTGGGGACATAGAGATACAGAGGCTTGAGGAGGAGACCAGAGATATAGGTACCCAGGGGGCAGATTCAGAGATTTAATCACTCGGGTGAGGGACAGACTCAGAGATACAGAGATTTTAGGAAAAGCTTTAAGAGATATAGAAACTCAAGGGGGAGACTCAGAAATATAGAGACTTGTGGTATGGGCTCAGATTTAGAGACTCAGGTGAGGGGAAAGACTCGAAAATAGAAAGACATAGGTGGGAGACACAGAACTATAGGGACTCGGGGATGGGGAGAGACTCAGAGATATAGAGACTGATGGAGACTCAGATATAGAGACTTTAGTAGACTCAAAGATATACTTAGATATATAGAGATTTGGAGAGAGATATTCAGATTT